CCGTTGACGGGTAGAAGTCCGACAACGAGTGAAATATTGGAGTTAGGTATAAGTAAGACATCAGGTAGAAGAGCGATGTTAGTTCGATGATAGGTAGGAATTCAACGTCGAGTAGAAATCTGATGAGATTCTGATGACAGGCAGAAGTCAGATGTCGGGTAAAAGTATAATGTTGGGTAGAAGATTGATGACAATCTGATAATAGATAGAAGTTTGGTGACGGTTAAAAATTCAATGTCGGGTAGAAGTCTGACGATGTGCATAAATTCAATATCTAGTAGAATTTTGACGTCGGGGTGAAGTACGGTGACAGGTAAATTTATTTTCAGGTAGAAGCCTGCTGAATGTCCGTCGACAGGCAGGAGTTTGACATCAGGTATAGCACGACATCGGGTAGAAGACCGTTGAAAGTCATTGACGGGAAGAAGTCTGACGACGGGTAGTAGTTGATGGCAGGCAGAAGTCCGACATCAGGTAGAAGTATGGCGTCAGGTAGGAGAATGACGAGAGTTTGATGGCGGGTAGAGGTACGATGATGGGTAGTAGTCTGACAGCAGGAAGAAGTTCGACATCATGTAAAAGTAAAGCATTGGGTAGAAGACCAGCAAAAGTCCATCGACGTGCAGAAGTATGACGACGGGTAGTTCGATGACAGGTAGAAGTCCGGCATCAGGTTGAAGTCTGATAATGGGCAGAAACCCAATGAAAGTTCAACAATGGGTAGAAGTTCGACGACTGGTAGTAGTTCTATGGCAGGCAGAAATTCGACGTCGGGTAGAAGAATGGGGTTGGGTAGGAGACCCATAAGAGTCCGGTGGCGGGTAGACGTACGAAATCGGTAGTAGTCTAATGACATACAGAAGTTTGACGTCGAGTAAAATTAAAGCATTGGGTAGAAGACTGACGAAAGTCCATCGACGGGCAAAAGTATGACGAAGGGTAGTAGTCCGACGACAGGTAGAATTCTGGCGTCGGGTTAAGTCTAATAATGGGCAAAAACCCGATGAAAGTTCAATGACGGGCAAAAGTCTGACGATGGGTAGTAGTCCTACGTTAGGCAGAAGTCCAACATCAGGTAGAAGTATAGTGACGGTAAGAAGGTCAGCATTGGGTAGAATTCTGATAAAAGTCCTTCAGTGCAGAAGAATAATGACGGGAGGAAGTTCGGCATCGGTAGAAGTCCAATAAAAGTCTGATAAGAGTCCCTTGATTGGCAGAAGTCCAATGATGGGAGGAAGCTCGACTTCAGGTAGAAGTTTGATGAAAGTCCCACTACAGGTAGAAATTCAGTGACAGGAGGAAGCTCAGTGTCGTGTAGAATTCAGATGAAAGTTTCAAAATAGGTAGTAGTCTAGCAATGGGAAGAAGCTCAGTGTCAGGCTGAAGTCTGATAATAACCTAACGATGTTAACCTATTTGGAAGAGGTTGTGAGAATCAACCAAGGATGTAAGACCTATCCAAGGTTGTATGTTAGAGCCTTTACTCGATGACGTTAACCTATATGGAAGAGGTCGATAGAATCGACCAATGATGTCAGACCTATTTGAGGTTGTATGCCAGAGTCTTTGCTCGACGACGTTAACCTGTATGGAAGAGGTCAAGAGAATCCACCAATGATGTAAGACCTATCCGAGGTTGTATGTCACAGCCTTTGCTCGATGTCTTTAACCTGTACGGAAGAGGTTGAGAGTATACACCAAGAATATGAGACCTATCAGAGGTTGTATGCATGAGCTTTTGCTCAATGATGTTAACATGTATGGAAGAGGTCGAGAGAATTCACCAATGATATAAGACCTATCTGAGATTATATGCTAGAGCCATTGCTCAATTACGTTAACCTGTGTGGAAGAGGTGATAGAATCCACCAAGGATGTAAGACCTATTCGAGATTATATGTTAGATCCTTTGCTCGATGATGTTAACATATATGGAAGAGGTCGAGAGAATCCACCAATGATGTGAGACCTATCCGAGGTTATATACTAGAGCCTTTACTCAATGACGTTAACTAGTATGGAAGAGGTTGAGAGAGTCTACCAAAAATGTGAGACATATCCGAGATTATATGCCAAAGCCTTTGCTCGATAACGTTAAGATGTATGGAAGAGGTCAAGAGAATCCGCCAAGAATGTGAGACCTATTCGAGGTTGTATGCCAGAGCCTTTGCTCGATGACGTTAACATGTATGGAAGAGGTCGAAAGAATCCACCAAGGATGTAAGATCTATCTGAGGTTATATGCTAGAGCCTTTGCTTGATGACGTTAACCTGTGTGGAAAAGGTCGAATAAAATCCCCCTGAAAATTATATTGCCTTGATTGGGAGGGGTGAATGCTATGTGTATGTCAAATCAAATGTGAAGAATGGTTTATCTTTAGACCGTTATTGCCTTTTTTGGGGTCGAGATTAAGACCCTGCCTAAGGATTAGAAGTCCATGTAGGGACTATATACAGTTTAAAATTGATTGGAAGTATCCTTACATTTGCTGGGATTTTCTTGAAATATCTTCATAATGTCGAAAGCATTGGAGGGATCTTCTTGATCATAATTGGAGTCAATGTTGTCCCCCAGTCCGAGCCTAATTCCCATGAAATTGATGCATCAATAGCTAAAGTCAGGAAGTTGACATGAATGACCTTTTGAGGTTGGAGCAAAAATTGCCTCCCATTTGGGGAACACGTTCCCACAGACGGTGCAAAATTGTTGTGTCCTCAAGTATTCACGATGATAAAGAAATATATAGTTTAACGTCTTAGTATTGTATGAAGATCTAGCACACAAGCAGATAAGAGATATAGAGTAATGTTCATAATAGAAACTAGAGTTTTATGTGGAAACCCCTAAAAAAGGGGAAAAACCACATGGCCTGACCCAATTTGAATGAATCCACTAGTATTTGCAGTCGATTACAAATGAGGCTCTTCTTAGGGAGAAGGTCTTATTTTGATGTTACAAATGTATGTCATATAGAGCTCATTACATGGTGGGAGTTACAATAATCAACATAGACGTGTTTGTTTAATCGGCACGACCATAATTGATAGGATAAAGTTGAAAAGACCATTGTCTGGTGATGGAGGTCGGAAGGACTATAGTAGGCAAGATCATATTCGGCAGGAGATAGGGGTTTAAAAGACCATAGGTGGCAGGAGAGCTGATCAGAAAGACTGTTGTCTAGCGATGTAGGTCGGAAGGACCATAATAGGCGATGAAGGTTAGAAGGATTGTAGTTGGTAGGAAATAGGGGTAAGAAACACCATTGTCTGGCGATGTAGATCGGAAGGATCATAGTAGGTGACGTAAGTCAGAATGATAGTAGTCGGCAAGAGACAGGGGTCCGAAAGACCATAGTTGGCAGTAGAACGGGGTTAGAAAGACCATTGGTGTAGGGCGGTACTCTGGAAGAACTCGAGGCATCATATGGTGGCCTAATAAAAGTTCGAGCCTCAGGTTGTGGTCCGGTAGAGCAACAACATCAGGTAGTGGTCCGTCGGAGGTGAGGGCCTCAAGTGGTTTTCTGGAGGAGCCACAACGTTAGGTGGTGGTCCGGCGGAGGTGAGGGCCTCAAGTAGTAGTCCAGCAGAGCAACGACATCAAGCGGTGGTCCGGCAGAGGTAAGGGATTCAAGTGGTGGTCCGGCGGAGCAATGGCGTCAAGCGGTGGTCCGGTGGAGGTGAAGGCCTCAAGTGGTGGTCCGGCAGAGCAACGACGTCCGGCGGTTGTCTGGCGGAGGTGAGGGCCTCAACTGGTGGTCTGACGGAGCAACGACGTCAGGCAGTGGTGCGGCGGAGGTCAGGGCCTCAAGTGATAGTCCGGCGGGGCAATGGCGTCAGGCAGTGGTCCGGTAGAGGTGAGGGCTTTAAGTGGTGGTCCAGCAAAGCAACGGCGGTGGTCGAGGAGGAGCTTATTCCTTCTCTTCTTCCTTCTACTCTTCTTGCTATGGTCCCCCTTTCAAGAGAAATGAGGGGTCTATTTATAGATTTATGGAGTGGCATGGCCAGTAAAATGGTGAGAGATCAAGGATAAATGGGGAGTACTTGGATGGACGGTCGATATTGAATCCCTTGATTGTGGACCGTTTGATGGGCATTTGAATGTCTTAAGGATGTTGGAATTCAGCGATCTTGGGCTCGTTGGGTTCGTCTCATCGAGAAGCTCGATTCGACTATAAGCACAACATGTTTGGAAACCGTTTGGTAACGCAAGTTGTGGTTTGAACGTTCCAACAACGCTTTGGGTCCTTGATTTGGACCCATTTGGGCTCGGATTGAGTCGAATTTGGTGTCGTTGGGTTCGTATTTCCGAGACGTTCAGTTTGACTATAAGTTGGCTGAAATCGGAGTTTGGATGGTCCTAATTTTTATTTTGGACGTTTCCAACTTGATTTTGCATCAAGATTCGTTCCCGATCAAGATAAATTTTGAGGACGTATCAATATTAATATAATTTTATTCATGTCCACTTGTTAAGAAATTCAAATTAATAAATTCTCATCATATAATTATTCGTAACATTAATATTAAGTATGGAGCCCAATAGTTTTAGAGATAGGGAGTCAAATAGTTTCAGAAATAGAAAGCTGAATAGTTAGTAACCACTTCTTATCATCGTAGTATTATTCATAACATTATTATTAAGGAGCCAAATAGTTGTAGAAATATGGAGTGAAATAGTTTTAGAAATAGAGGGCCGAATAGTTAGTAAAAACATCTTATCATTTGATTGATTAGCCAAACTACTTAATATATATTCCTTTAATGTCAAGCCATTAGTAAATAATCATTCATATCATATCTTTTGTATTATAACCATTCATATTTATTTTCAAGCAAAGATCATTCATATATCTATACTACACTAATATTAAAATGTAGCTTGTCATTCTTCTCTTAGATAATCTTAACTATTCATATTTTAAAATTAGAATAAAACCTCCACCTTTTGATATGTGTCTCTTCGCATCTTTTATTAGTCTCTTCGTTCCCATGCTTTGCAGGAAGAAGAGTTTTGAAAGAGTCACTAAAGAAGCTTCGCCTTCTTCTAGGACTTTGTTCCTATCTGATCGAAAATCATGACAGAAGATGGCCATGACTTTGCGTGCTTTGCATGAAGAGTTTCAAACTTCTTCGCCTTCTTCTATGATGTTTTCCTTGTCATATTGGAAGTCACGGTAGGAGCTCATCATGAAGGTGACAGCGGGAGCTTGCGGCGAAGGTAACAATATTTTTTGTCTTGCACTCTCAGTAAATCCTAGCAAATCTTCTATTCTTTTTTGAACTCAGGAGTCAACAGAGCCGAGTTTGTTTTAACTTCTAATGGATTTTTTCTTACTATTACAGTTTGATATTGTTGAACTTTGATCAAAGAAATATATTGGCAAAGGAATCAAATGTCTTAAGATGAAAAGTTTTATGCAGACTTTTTATGAGAATCGACCTTCTTAGCAAAATCATCCCCAAAGAGGTACTTAATAATAGGAAGCTATTTCATTAAAGATATTTTTTTAAATTTCACATATAATTTTTTATTTTGGAATTTCATAATTTGAACATTTCTGATGTTTTATCAAATAATCCACATATCAATGTTAAAATAGTTTATGATCAATTATGAAGTTATTTTGGGTTACATTAGATAATGAAATGATTTGATATTTTATAATGCTATTTCTTTTGATTACAGGAACAAAGAATTTATTCCAGCTGAATCAGACATTTCTTCCATGATTCTTGTATTTATTTTAGTTCATGCTCTATGTTTGAACTAGATTAAAGTGTCTTCGGATCTATATATTTATTTTGTTTATACTTAATTATTTAATTTTTTAGAAGTGTTTCCTAAACAACATTCACAACTCATTCCGATATTTACATTTTTACCTCTGTTTAGCAATTCCTATAAGTCGTTTTCAAGAATAAACTTATTGATTAATTAAACTTTTCCTCTAATCATGTCTCAGACTTTCAACAAACTTGTCAAAGGTTGACAAAGTTCTTATTGTTGAAAGAATTATCGAGTCCCTAGGATTGCTTATAATAGCTAAATCCTTAGTCAATACTATTAAGTAGCATAAAATATCTAGTGGGCAAAGAAAGCGAGTTACTGTTGGGCTTGAAATCATTATAGGACTTTATTTATTTATTTTAGATGAGCTAACCTCTGGTTTCGATAGAGATTAATCGTCTCTATTTCTTAAAGCCCTACGTTGCGAAGCACTTTTAGTGGTAAATATATGCATGATAGTTAAGTTTTTCTAATGCTTCAGAGTAATATAAAATATTTTGGCATTCCTATTCTATTAAAATGCTTCTGATTTTCAACCTTTGCTGAATAAAATCATTGATTCACTTGCTAGTTGGAAGGCTAAGACACTATCTTTTACGGGTAGGCTTCAATTTCTAAAATGTACTATTAGCAATCTTATTTCTTATTGGATTAAAAATCTCGTCCTTCCATAATATTGCCTCAAATTCATAAGAAATGTTTGCTCCAATTTCCTTTTTCATAGTGATGTTAATGATAAAGAAGATTAATATTATTACTTGGAAGGAAGCCTAAGTGTTTTGTTGGTCGTGGTCTTCCAGTCTTAATGCCTTATATTATACATATAGTTGTTCTTTAATTTGGAGGATTTTAAATCAGCATTGTCTTCTATCTGGCTGAGTTAAGCATAAATACACTTCTTTATGGAAGCCTCCTTCTCAGAAGACTTCTATTTATTGGAAATATTTATGCTCTATTGTAGGGAAAATTAAGGATAATATTTCTTTTAATATTAATTCTAACATTATTCTTTCTTTCAATTTGGACCCTTGGTGTGCAGGTATGGCTTTATATGATTTAGATATTAACATTTGCTCTTCTTGGCATTCTGTTTCTATAAAAAAAATTATTAATAATGGCAATTGATCTTTGTTGGATAATTTACTTGATTTTATTTCTTCAACTATTTCACATATTTCTATACATGGTTCTTCTTGTTCCTATATTGCCTTGAATGAGATGTTACCTCCTTAAAAGTTTGTAAGAGTTGTGAAATCCTTATGAACTAGCTGAAGACTAATCAAGAGGGGATGAATTTATTATTTTAAAAATTTCTTAAGACAAAAAAAATCTTTTTAAAATCTTTTTGAATATTTTTAAATTTAATAATTTTATCCCACAATGCAGAAGCAAAACTAATTTCAGAATAACTAAAATTAGATATTTCAAACATAGAATAAATCACAAAAAATACTAAAATTAAATGCGATAAAGTAAATAGAAAGAACACACCATAATTATAGTGGTTAGGTCAACTTAACCTAAGACCACTCCCTAGAAGCCTCCTTTTTAGGTATTGCACTAAAAGTGGTGTCTCTCCTTTTTCCCCCACAGCAAAGCGGAGAAGCTCTTACAAAATCTTTCCACTGATCCTATGAGGCAGAGTACCTTGAATCATTTTACTCCCTCCTAGAGTAGGTAAATAATATTGAAATCTTTTTACTCCTACTTGGAGTAGGAAGAGAACATTGGAATCCTTTTACTTCCTCTAGGGGTAGGCAGAGAACCTTGGACATTATATTGATGAAAGTTTCCCAGAGCCACCAAGGAAATAAGGAAGAAGCTTGAAGAAGATGGTTGAAATCTTGCTTGGAGTAACCTTTGTGAATCTCTCACAACTCGCCCTCACAAGGATCTCTCTCCCTCTCAAATATCTTCTCTCTTCCTTCTCTAAGCTCTCTTTCAGGTCAACGCAACAACAAAAGATCTCTCAAAAGATAATATGAAATATTAAATAGAAAGCCTCTAAAAGAAGCTCTAATTTTTAATTTGTGATCAAAGATCGTCCAGTATGATCTTGAGAACGTCTTGTACGATTAGTACAAAAAAGTCCTTTCTGTCAGTACGATCAGTATTGCCATGAACGATCTATTCAAGTATTTGTATAGAGCATCCTATATGATTTTACAATCGTCCAGGACAATTAGTTCAAGATAATGCATTAATAATCCAATACGTGATGGGACGATGGGTGACGATTTATATATCGTCCTATACATCCCTCAGGATGTCTAGAAATGCTTGTATTATTAGAAGAAAATTATGGTTTTCATTTTGGACGATGGGGGATCAACCCATGAAATATCAAATATCATCCAATATGATCATCTTAGATCATCCTATACGATATGATCGAGCAATAATCATAATTAGTCTCCTAATCACATGATCAATTTAGATAATTATCCTAAATCATCCAGTATGATGTATATTGTCATGTACGATAAGAATAAATTTTGAAAATTAAAAAGTATAATTAAAAGGCTATTTTTCATGTTTATAATTAATCATTTTGTACGATCTGAATCATCAAGTATGATTAGTTAAGCAATTATACTTAACAAAGGGTGTCCAAATTAGAATTTTTTATTTAACGGATCTTCCAGTATGATTGAAATCGTACTGTATGATTAGTTTAGAAAATTATTTTTCTCCTAACTCACCCCCTTGAGTGTATGTGTGTAAGATTACTTAGCTTGGGATCCATAAGATATATGACTTGACTCAAAAAAAAGGTAAAAAGTACATTGAAATTGAAATTATAAAAACACCTAACCCTAGTCTACCCGATTTTGAGCTGATTTGCATTACAAGTAAACTTGTGGATATGAAAGGTAAGTGAGCAAAGCAAACAAAATGTATATACAATAGTAGTAGTAGTAAAGAAACAATAATTTTTATTATCATCAAAATTATTATACTTTGGCCCAGATTTATAAAATCTTCCCCTTTTCTATGATGAAAAATATTGTTGTTAAAAATTTTTAAAGCCCTTTGACATTCTCTGAAACTCGCCCTTATAAGATGAAATTCTAAAAGTAAGAGGAGTTAAAAAAATGTTTTTATATTTTTTGTTATTTACTATTATTTTAAAGAAAAATATCAGACATAAGTAAAAAAAACATAAAATAAGTAAGCAGAAAACAAACTAATTTTACTAAAACATAAGAAGTAAATAACGCACTACTCCCCCTTTCAACATCACAAAAAGAAGGAAAAAGAGAAACACTAAATCAAACAAAGTAACTACATCACAAAGTATAGAAGTAAAGACCAATACAAAAATAAAAGCACTGAGCAAACTAGGAAAAGGAAAAATCCTGATTTAGTGGAGGTGGTGGTAGTGGTTGAAAGAGGCGGTGAAGGAGGAAAATTACTCTACAATCTAGGTCATATACAAGTCAAGCTATTATTGTTGTATTACGTAGTTTTCAAAATGAGCTAGATCATTTGCATGCTGCTATTGTTGCTGATCAGCTACGTAGTCTTTAAATTTAGCCTCCGACAAATCAAACCTCTGAACCAGCTAATCAATCTAATGCTACTGGAAGATAAAGATAAGTGTAGGGGTCCTTCCTCTTTAGCCATATGCTCTTCATGTACAGGGTGATGATGAGTACTGTGAAGGATGTGAAAGGAGCTATTGGAATATAATACATGGAGGTGATCAGGCGAAGTAAGGAATTTAAGATTATATTTTGTCTCAAAGACAAAGGCAATGAGATGTCCTAAAGCTAGATTGGGATTTCTTTTGTGGCAAGGATCCCTAACGTAGGTTAAATGTTTAATGTAGCAAATGATAAGATCAATTGCATTAAAATCAAGGTTAGTCATAATGTAGTAAGTGGTGAGTGAAAGAATAGGAGTAATGTGAATATGATCCCTGGCTTTAGGAATAATTGTGTTGCGAAGAATGTGTTGGATGGTTCGGGCATCTTTAACTAAGGTGTTGACTATGGATTCATGATAGTAAACATGGTTTAGCTAAGAATGTTGTTAGTAGGGGTCTAATTAAAATTAGGATCAAAAGCTAATATATGGATTTTATCTCCAATGGTGGACTAGTGAAGAAATTTATGGAAATCTTGGTAGGTTATCTCTAAAGGCCTTCTATTTACATATAATTATAGAGCAGTCAAAATCAACATTAAGGTAAAGGCTTGCAAAGAATTCAAATAGAATTTTGGAGTTAAAAGGAAAGGAAAGGGTAAGAATAAATCCAAGAGTTGTGTGAGCAAATAGGTCTATCACCTAAAATTTCAGAGTATTTTAATTGAAAAGATTGGAAGGGTTGATACCACTAATTTTATAGCTATTGTAGGCCGCTTCATCAGATGCCTTAGTGAATCGAGGATCAATAGGACGCTTGGAAGAGCTTCGTATAAGTGCTCTAGACCTTTTCCTACATGCCATTACAAGAGTATGAGTTCAAGAGGGAAGAAGAAAGCATTGGAATGGTGTGGAGAAATCGAAAACCAACCATTTATAAAGAAATATCTAGATCGTACAATACGATCATGAGATCATCCTGGACGATCAGGTGTAATCAATTCGTCCAGATAATTGGTCAACAATGTTTGTCATATTGTATTGTATGATTAGGTATCATACTAGATTATTAAACACAAGAGATTGTCCCGATAAGTCAGCATATACGATCGTTGATTGAGTAGATCATATAGTATAAATATGTGGATTGTACTAAATGATGTGCTATAAAGGATTGCACCAACTACGTTTAAATCATCCAACAATTTATGCCATGTGGATCGTATAGTACGATGGTATAATTATATCAGACAATAATCAATAATTGATCAATTTAAGCTGTTGGATGTGATGGATCTAGGATTGAAATTTTTGTTAAAATTGTATAGGATGATGTGGATCAACCTAGATGATTTGAATAAAAATTATAGAATTTAGGGGATGGAATTTGATGATCAAACAAAAATTAAAATACAAAAAATATAAAATAAAATAAGAATAAGCCAAAAATAGTCATAAATCAAAATAAAAAATACACCCTTTTTTTAAAATCAATCAACTTTAGTAAATGATAAACTT